ATTAATGTATATAATATACAATATATATATATATATATATATATATTAGTATGAGATAACCATTTTTATTTATATTCATAATAAATATCATGATGCATTATGGACATGAAAGGATTATCATTTACGAAAGAAGTTAGCGGCTTCGTAGAAGGTCTGTCGATAGGAGTGGACTCAATAGAGGGGCGAGGGCTGGCTGCACATATGCTAAAGCGGCACTTTCTGAGCAAACGATGTTCAACGAATTACCGCACAGACTGGCAAGAAAAAAAAGACACGCGGCATATGATTTTTCATCTTCGGAGCGGGGGGGCTCGAGAGCAGAACACGCTCGGTCCTCGCGGTCGTGTTAAGTCTGAGAGCTAGGCGGCGCAATCGATCAGTTATGGGATATCGACGTAACGGCGCCCTCGTCGGGATATGCGGCAACTACTTAGTACGCTCGCCTCCTACATGGCAAATCGGTCCGGCAGGAGGAAGAGAGCGAGAGAAAGGTGAAGAGTAAAGATAAAGCGAGAGAGAAAGAGAGAATCGTGAAAGAGAACTGAAATGAAAAAGAGGGGAGAGAGAGAGAGACACAGAGAGAAGAGAGAAGAAAGAGGAGAGAGAGAGAGAGAGGAGAGACGAAGAAGAGAGAAGAGCGATGGAGCGCGACAAAGGGAAGGAGAGGACTGCTGACATTATGTGATAACGCAACGCAGGGCTGGCGATCATAAAAGATAAAATATATTATAACGCACGTTAAGCCAAGCCGGAGAGAAATTATTAATGGCCAAAATAGCCCGGACTTACGTGAGCCATCGTACGACAGCGCAGGACGACGCATCTGGTCTGCCGGGCGCGTGTGCGTGCATGCGGGCGTGCGTGGTGCAGGGTATACATTCAAAAATTGTGACTCAGCACGCAGGCCTGTCGGTTTCGCAGATAGGCCGCGAGCAGCCAGTGATCAGTTCGACGACCAAGAAAAACTAAAACAGTGAAGTGAGCAATGCCATCCACACAACAGGAGCTCGTCGAACGTCAAGGAAATCATTGGCCCGTTATTTTGGCATTACGCATAGACGTCGCCTAGAAGTAGGAGACAGCTTGAGAGAGGAGAAGAATCGAAAGAGAGAGAAGAGAGAGAAGACAAGGAGAAGAGAGAAAGAGAGAGAGAGAGTGAAGAGAGAGGAAGAGAGAGAGAGCGAGAGAGGAAGAAGAGAGAACGAGGAGATAGAGAGAGAGAGAGGAGAGGGGAGATAGCGAGACAGATTAAGATTTCGCTTCTAAACACGGATGCGCTGTCAAGCACTTGGGAGATTGTTGGAAGACGGTAGAATGCAGCGAACTCGATTAAACTTATTGGTCTGACGAGGCAATCGGTCTCTGCGGAGTGGGACAAGATACTGACGAGTGGTGTGTGTAGAATGCGTCACCGTAGCGTACAGTAACCTATTGGACAGTAGTACGAAGTACAACGCTGTGTCTTTACGGAACGTTCTTGCTTCTAGCGTCGATCGACGCGCGCCCGCTGACCAATTACGTAGAACGACACCACGACCCTGTCGGCGCCTTCAGACCTGTCGCGGGAACGACGCAGGACGGCGGCACGCACTGCCGACAGTTAACCGCCACCGACGCCAGCTCCGCAGGTCGTCGGCGACGTTCGTCACGTAGATCCACGTCGCATGTTGCTGCGACCGCCTCAAGCTGTCAATCCGACCGTCACTTCACAGGACACGGACAGCAGACGTGCCGAACGGACCGTTTCGCTTGGCACGTTCGGCCGAATCTGCGTCGCAGGGGGGGTCGTCAGGCGCCGACCGGCTGGAAGCGTCCGAATTACCGCATCTACGACGTTCTGTACCCGAAGCGGCCGCACTGGCAGGCAAGTTCGTGCGGCTGTAGGACAGCAAGCCGATACGTGCAAGCGTTCGTCGGACCCGTCGACGCTGACACTGTGCGCGCCCGCAGCAGCCTCCTGAGCGGGCGCCACGCCGCGGCAAGCGACCGTATTTCGTCGGGGGATGTGGCACGCACGAGGAGGTTGCGGAGCCGAACGGATTTCCGCTCGCACCGTCGGCACGACGAAGTCCATAACGACGGTGCGTTCGATTGGAAATGACGCTCATGACGCACTTCCGGTGGAAGTACGCGCCCATAAGTGCGTACGCCGAAGCATCCGAGCACGGTCCGGGTAACAAGTGCGGGATGAAGTCGGCCGGAGAGAGATGAGCAATGGGATATGAGAGGTGGATGTCGTTTTGCTTTTACCGACGACAAGCGCCGCCGAACGGCTATGCAAACGGAAATATATGACAGTATAAACCCCCAAAAAAATTTAAGTGTACTTGTCACCGTATGATATACTCGATTACACGTCTATACACTGTAAAACTGGTAATTCGAACGTCGATGTTTATTCAGCGATCTGTATTTTAATCTTAGTGGCCGCAGCGCGTTATTTTATGAACCTAAACATATATAGTTTAACTATATATTTTAAACTTTAAAAACACACGCGCACACGCACGATGCAACACACATACACGTACGAACGAACACGCACATACACGCGGCACACAAAGTAGGCAACGTTGACGTTTTGTCTAGGTAGATACGCATTACCTATAATTTCTTGTATCTACATGCAGGAGGCCGTTAAATTCAAGGATTACTGCGTATTTTTACACACACACGCGACAGCGGCGCGCATACCAAAAACACACACAATGCACACACCACACACACACACAACCACACACAACAAACACACACAACACACACACACACACAACACACACACGCAACGCATCAGCACGCACGCACGCACGCACGCACGCACCGACGCACGCTACGCGACGCGGCACCAACGAATTGCAATTGTCTTATAATTATTTACTGGTTCGAACGTTTATTTAGAATCGAGCAATTTTGTCGATAAGCATGCATTTTGCAAGAATGCGTTATTGTGATATAATTAGGATTAAAGAACTCAAGTTCACCATTTAACACAACGACATTTACACTTATTACAATTTCGATATAGCTGGCTTTGCAAATGTTTTACTTTTTCATAAAACGCAGCACACCGCCAGCAGAACGACATCAGTGAACAAACGGAGCGCACCGGAGGGCGGATCAAAGATACCTAAGATCCACACCTCTACTGAGCGACTGGCGCAGATACAAAACATGCGAAAAAAAACCACCACACGCTCCGACCACCTAAAGAAGGAACATCGATCCTTGCCGGTGCAGCATCAGCATACCCAGGCACACATACACAGCACACCACACAAGCACAACACAACACACACACACAGCCAGACGCACCCAGAGAGTACACCACCCACCGCAATTTAACGACCACTAGCGGCCGCAAAAACAATAAAGCTTCGGAACAACACCAGATCAACCAGCGCACCACCCCAAAAGTAATAACAATAAATAAAACGTACCGC